TGGAGTCATCTGAGAAGGAGACACAAATGAGGAATTGTCCCCATCAGATTGCCCTTCCAGCAAGTCTCTGGAGGAATTCCTTTTTTTTGACACAGAAGACTACAACCCACTCTTGTTTATGTCACTTTTGGTAGACAACCCATGGTTCTATAAGAAAGCTGTTAGAGGGGCTAGAGAGATGGCTCTGTGGTTATGAGCACTGGCTACTCTCAAAGAGGTCTTGAGTTCATTTCCCAGTACACCCATAATGGCTCACAATCATCTATAATGGGATCAGATTTGCCCTTTTAGGGTGCAGACATACATGCAGATGAAATACTCATCTACATAAAATACATAAATATTTACATGTTTAAGAGAAAATTAACGAAAGCAGGCTGAGTAAGCCAAGGAAAGCCAGCCAGGTAGAGGTGTTTCTTCAGGACCTCTGCTTCAGTTCTGCCTGTAGGTTACCTGGCATCTGTCTCAGCTAGTGTTCTATTGCTGTGAAGAGAAACCATGAGTTCAGCAACTCTTATAAAAGAAAACACTGAATGAAGGGTGGTTTACAGTTCAGAATTTAGTTCATTATTGAATGGGAGAGAGCATGGAGCTGGAGAAGAAGCTGAGAGCTCTATATCTTTGTTCTCCTTGTGAGCATTAAGTACCTGGTTAGGTTGTCTGCAATATCTCTGAATGTCTTTCTTTGGGACATAGGAATTTGTAGCTGTCACCATTCTCCTGGGCCTGATATGAACCTTTTCTTTAAACTTTCCCATTGTGAATTTGGTTCTAGCCATATCAACGAGGACTTGATCATGGAGCAGGGCAGGGAGGCCTGCTACTCCTGTGAGGAGTCCTTCATGACTGATAATAAGATGGTGATGACTATGGGCGGCAGACATTTTTCTGAGGTCAAACTGGCCTTCCATGTCCCTACTGTAACCTGTGTGGCTGTAAAAGTTCTTCGAATGAAGAAGAAGAAGAAGAAGAAGAAGAAGAAGACCTCGCTTGTTGCCAAGGAAGTCCGCATCATGAAATCTCTCCAGCTTCCGAACATCATTAAGTTGTTTCAGGTGGTCCAATCCAGAGACACCACCTACTTAGTGATGAAGCACGCATCACAGGGAGATCTTCTTCGGCACATTCTGGAACTGGGGTCCTTACAGGAGAGTGAGGCACGAAGGTTAGTTACCCAGATTCTCCTTGCAATGCAGTACTGCCATGAAAACCATATTGTCCATAGAGACATTAAGGTCAATAGCATACGACTTGACTACAGGGGTAACGCCAAGTTGTGTGATTTTGGACTTGCTGCTAAAATGACCCCAGGGCAGAAGCTGAGGGATTTCTGTGGAACTCTGCTCTACTGTGCCCTGGAACTCTTTGTAGAGAATGCCTATGATGGCTGCGCAGCTGATATTTGGAGTTTAGGTGTGCTTCTCATGGTGGTCGGGTGCTTTCCCTTCAGGGCTAGCTCTTCTGAAGGTGTGAGGCGTCAGATCCTGGCTGCAAACTTCACAATACCTCAGCATGTTTCCATAGATATTTTCAATGTCATCGTCGAAATGCTGATGATCAACCCAGACAGGAGGCCCACCATTGACCAAATCATGAGGCGCCCCATGATCAGGGAGAGCAACAGGCGTTCACCACTTGTTTCCACACAGAAACGCCCTGGCACCGTGAGCCCTGACACCGTGAGCCCTGACATTGTCAGCACCATGAGAGTCATGGGGTATAAGTCTGAGGAAATCATTGATTCTCTGAGGGACCAAAACTACAACCAGGTGATGGCCACTTACTTGATTTTCCAACACCTGTCTCCTGGGGGAGACTGCAGCCATCAGCAGGTGAAACCCATGCAGCCAGGCCATGTCCTCAAACTGGCAGATCTTCAGGCCTTCCCTGTGCCACTAAGGAGAGCTACTGAGCCTGCTCCCCTGAACTTCACCTTGCCATCTACGCCCCAGGAGAAGGAAGGTAAGAAGAATGCCAGGAGGGTTGGCACAAGGCATAGCATGCCTGCCACCCTGGGCCGCCAGTTAGCAAAGACCTACCATTCCCACCTAGTGCACCAGAACCATCATAGTGCTCTTTTCCACATGGGCAGCAGTGAGGAAATGAGTGAGAACTTCTCTGATTCCAAGATCGGGTCAAGTGGCTGCCAGATGGCTAGTGTCCAGCCATCTCTCTTAATGGACACTGTGTCTAGTAGGCCACACAACCGTGAGACCACATGTGACAATGGAAACATGTCTTCCTGCAGTAACCTAGAGGAACTCTGGAGCTCTGTGAAGACAGCTCAGAGTATAACCCCCAGAGGCTCCTATTCTGCGGATATGTTCTGGGTAGACATCATCACACAAGAAGAAAACTTTAGTAAGGAAGTGAACATCACCCAGGTAGAGGTCATGAATGAGAAAGATATCATCACACAAAAAACAATGACCCAGGAAGAGTCTGTCACAGAGGAAGTGACCATTAACCAGGGAGAAGATATCACACAGGAAGCAACCATAACCCAGGAAGAGGACATGGCACATGAAGCGACCATGACTCTGGATGAGACCAGGACAAAGGAAGTGACCATGGCCGATGGAGTGATCATGGCTCAGACTGAGACCCTCACAGAAAAGAGACCCTCACGGAGCATGAAGACATCATTCGGGAAGCTACCATCACTCTGGAAGTGACAATGAACCAGTTAGCGACCCTGACTCAGGAAGACAGCATCACACAGGAGGAGGCCATCACCCATGGCCAGCCTGAGGATGCTGGCCCAGCTTCTACTCGTAACCAGAGGTTCCCCATCTGGAAGGGGGTCAAGAAAATATTGGTAAACTGCCTCAGACACCTGTGCTGCTGCCTGCCACCAGCCAAGAGAAGACATGACTCTTGTAAGACCCTGGCTCCAAAGAAACGGGATCTTGCAGTCACCCACAGAACCAGGTGGGGCAAATATCCCTCTTTATTC